CTTTTTTGGGGGGAAGGGAACACAGGCTAGTACATCAGAGGCTGAATTGGATTGTGGGTCTCATCTTTAAGTAGCTGTGAACAGAACAATGGCTATTCCTGAATGTATCTCAGAAAGTTTCACATGGAAAGTTTCATGGTTGTTTCTGTATGATTATTTATAAGAACCTTATTTAATTACAGCAAAATGTTATGTGTTAATTGTGTGCAGCTGTCATTCTCTATATACTGTTGCTCATAAGAGCCATATATTGCAAAATGAGAACTTGATTTAAAATCACCAATTTCAATTTTGTTCCTTAAATTTCTGACTAAATGCATTTAAATTCTAAATGCATTATCAATCCATGCTGAATAGAAATGAACTGTGAGCTTGACACAGTTAAGCATTGTGAAATACTTTAGGTTTTTTGTACTTTTACCAGGCTGAGTTTGTCGCCTTGGGGCCTTCAGCCACCTAGCCAAGAGTAAGATTGTTCTTAGTGCATCTGAGTGTTCATTGAAAACACCTTGGGCTATTAGTTGTCTTGACTGTGTAAACATTTTAGATAAGGAATGCTCTAATCTTATCATATCCGGTCTCCCAAAGTCCACTCTTTGAATCTTCTCTGGCATAACCAAGTCAAAATTAAGATACTTAACCTGGTGGTGTGTGCTTTCTTTTCTTGTGCTCTTGAGCAAACTGATCAAAATTGGAAGGAACAAGGAAGGAAAAGGTTTAGATCCCCCAGTGAATGAAAAAAGGGGTAAAATGTTGGACATTTCCCTTGAATTCCAAGCACAGTCTGCCAAATCTTAGGGAAAGGCTCTCAGCCAATTGGCCAAATGAATGCCTTCAGATTATAGAGGAAGCTACCAGCAGCTCTTTATAGTGGCCCGTCCCATGCTTTGAGAACTGCTGTGAGAAGAAATACTTTAAAAATACAAATCTTTTCTATAGAATTATGGCCTTGAAACAGACAACATGAAGAACTTGGTTCTGAAGTTACGAGCATCTTCCAACAATCTGCAAAACTACATCAGCAGCCGGAGGAAAACTTCAAAGTATGATGGAAATACCTCACGCAAACCTCCTAATGAATTCCTTACCTCAGTGGTAGAGCTCATTGGTGCTGCTAAGGCCTTGCTGACATGGCTGGACAGGTATGTTATCTGGTAATGATTAAATACAACTGGAAGGTATTCCATATATTTTAGGACTCGTATCTGGGCTACTGGTATGCTTTCCCCTCTCCCCACCTCTTCTTGCCAAGGTAGAGGGAAGTGTGTATGTGTTCTCACGCGCGCGCACGCACACACACACACACACACACACACACACTCCTCTGTGCTTGCATCTTTGGGAGTCTTATATCTTGTGCTTTAAAGTACGTTCCCACATGCTACCCTAAGGATAGATTACACAGAGCTATGCCACTTTTGCATCCGTTCTTTACCCAAATTACTTAAACAAATGGAAATATGGTCAATTTGTGATAGACTGTGCAATCCTATACAGGTCCACTTAGAAAATATGCCCTTACTGAGTTCAGTGGGTCTTGCTCCTATGTAAGTGGATATAGGAATGCAGCCTACCTTTTTTGTGTTCCCCTTGTCCAATAAAAGGAAATTGGAGTAGGGAATCAGACAAACAAGGGCCTCTGAGGCAAGAAATGTGCCTCATTTTCTGGCTGATATTGTTGATTACTCTCTGGTGATAGCTGCAGTGTCAGATGACAAGTATCTGAGTGGATAATGCTGCAGTTTGAAGTTCGGAGATAAATGCAAAACCCCTCGCATCCGGCTAGCCCTTCTGAGAGCCCTTCTTGTGAGGCAGGAAGTCCATGGGAGATGTGGCAAGAGAGAGAATGTGGAAATGACAAGATGAATCTGAGCCCCCAAAACAAGCTCTGTAGTTGGATCTGTAACTTGATAGATTGCTGCTTTCTTTCCTTCTTGTCCTGACATTTTGTACTGCACTTAAAAATCAGTTGTACCAGTGACTCATTTTCAAGACTGATATGTGTTGTGGCCCATCCTAGCGTGTCTCTCCCACATCTGCCACAGCCTTTTCAAGAAAGCTGCAGTTGTCCTTTTAAACTTTCAGATAATTTTCTTTGCTTGCTTGCTTTTCTGTTTGTAACCCGGGTTTCCCTATGATGGACAATAAGAAACCATGACAAAGCACTTCACATTCATCAGAAGGTTTAAATATTTAAATGTATCTTTTGCATTGATTTCCCACTGTTCCTTCGGTGAAGTCAGTGTGGCACACACAGTTCCTTTCTTTAGTTCTAGCCTTGCGACAACCCTGCGACAAGCTGCCCTGGCAAGCTTCATGTCTGAGTGGATGCTTGAAACAGTGTCTCCATAGTCCTGGTCCAAGGCTGCAGTAGCAAAGTTCTTCCTGAAGGGTCTTGCAAGTCTGGAGCCCCATGGAGCCAGCCCATGTCCATTGCCATGTGTCTCTTCCCATCCACCTTTGGTTCAAGGCAGATCTCATTAGTGAGATGCCCACAATATCTCTGTAGGCTGCCTGTGCAATTCATGCAGACACCACCCACCTGCGTGGGTACACCAGGCTCCCCACTGGAGATGTTTGCCCTGGGCCATGGCTAGCCAGCAAGGATCCACATGGTGGTGGGACTAAAGGCTTGGCCCTGCTGCCTCTTTGCACTCATGTTGCCCTTTCACATGGATAGCGATAAGGCAGCCACCCCCAATTTGGTGCTATCCAGATATTTTGGACTACAGCTCCCATCATTCCCCAACCAGTATGACCAGCAAGAAGGTTTATGGCAGTTGTCCAAATCAGATGCAGGGCATAAGGTTTCAGAAGTCTGTTTCGGGGTTCATTAAATATCTTTTTTCCAGTCAAATTCCTCTGTAGAATAGTGTTGCAGAGCTTACTTTACACTGTACTAAAATCTTCCTAATGCAGCTCTGTTCTGATCAATATTTTAATGCAGGATCCTGTTACTTGGTGGGCTGCATATAAATGGCCACCAGGGATTACTTTTTGGCCAAGCAAACACTGGGGATCTTTGTGTATATTATGTTGTATCTCTTTATTTCTGTGCCAAGAGATAAGTGTTGTTTTTGTCTCCGGACCAACAAAGCTGCTCATCATTGTTTACTTTCTCCCACAAGTCAGCCTAAGTCACTCGCAGTTAAGTGAGAAATTTAACTGTGCTGCTCTCAGTGATGTTGTGGAGATGAGGACAAAATCTGTTTCTTACTCTTGATACTGATGCTAGCCATGGAGGATTTGGGCCAGGTTCAGATGGTGAAATATGCCCCTACTGAGTTTGCCATATTCATAGAAGTGAATGGCTCCTGGCATCTTCTGCTGGTAGAAAATGCTGAATCAGAAATCTCTGGGGCCCTGTCAGGAAGAGGGATTATCTTCCTGCCCTGCAAGGTCTCCGTTTTGTTAGGCTTGTTCCCCTTTGGCAGAGAAGGGGATCTTGCACCATAAACATTACAAACACAGTACCTGCCAGAAGGCCTTAAACATGGACTGCAACTGAGGAGACAGGCGTATGTCAGAAACTGTTTCTCTTTGCTGTTCTCAGCTGGCTTTGCATCAATTTTTCATCATCCTACATTAGCCTTTCCCAAATTGATACCCTTCCGATATTTTGGACTACAACTCCCTGGGAACTGAGGCAGGAACATCAGCCCCTCTCCCTTCGTTAGAAAGATGGCTAACAGGGTATTTTGAGGTATCTGATGTGGAAGCAATCCTTAGCAAACGCCCCTCATCCCTAGGAACAGACCATGAGAGAAACCACTGCGCCAGTGTGGCAAAGCAGTCAGACGCAGAAGATCCAGGTCCTAATACACAGAAAAATAAAATAAATCAATGCAAATATGTGACATCTTAGGAGCCTAAGAAGCTACACTCTGCCCATGTCTCTGCCTATTTGTCTGGTCAGGCTGGTCAGGCTTTCCAGAGTCTCAGAGTGAAGTCCTTCCCACCATCTGCCTCCGTTCCACTGGAGGTTCCAGGGACTGAATCCAGGAGGTTCTGCGTGCACCACATGGGTTCTGCCTCTGAGCTGGGGTCCTTCCCATCTTCATCTGATCTTATATCTATCTGCACACAGCTGCAGTTTGCTGTACACTGTCATGCAGTGTTTGTTGATACTGTGACTCTGGTGGGGATCTCTGATGATACCCATTTATCTCCCCTCTATTCCCCTTTCAAAAAGTTGGGTTCCCTCCATTTGCTGCCCAGCTCTTAAATGGCCATAAACTTTTTCTCTGTTTACTTCCCAGCAATTATATTTGCATATATGTTCCAGTCCGTCCAAATTGTACAAAAACCAAAACTCTCAGAGGTGACAAAACAGGATAGAGAAAATAGTGCACAAAGAAGTACTAATACCTGCACTTTCCCACCAGGGCATCATTCACTTTTTCTCAGTCAGCTGCATCAAGGCTTTTTTCTTAAAATTGGCAGGGATGTACAGCAACCACAGAAGAAAGTGGTCCATGAGGGCTAGGGAGTTAACCCCTTTGTGCACGAGTTGGAAACTCAGGGAAGGGTTGGATGGTAGAGGGCTGTGTGAACTGTTACGAGCCTGAGGATTATGTTGCTAAGGGGGTGATATTAGTGCACTGCTCATGCTCCCTTTCCTCCCTTGGTTCCTAACGGACAGTTAGGCAATAAGCAGCTGGCAATGGTGTGCAAATTAGCCTGTGTGCAGTATTTTTTTTCACCCATTTCCCTGACTGTTCCCTACTCCACTTTAGTGCTTCCTCTGACAGCTACAACTTGCAAGGTCATTGACAAGGAAAGACTATGCATATCAGATAGCCATAGGAGCGCATGACTGGTGGTGGCTGCTGCTGCTGCTGATGATGATAACAATAACAATACATATAAGCACAATTGTTCCTGTATCTGGGCAAAGGAAGGACCATTTGAAAGCACAAATAATGGTGTCCAATAAGGCAAATCAGAATGCTTGCTATAAGTGGCCACAAAAAAGAGTTAAGACCCAACTAAAAGGGTTTAAAAAAGACTAGATAACCAAGTGTAGGAGCAAATAGTGCTCCTGTGAGTATACAGTAATACCACCATTCACGGACGCTTCTGTTCGTGAACAATTCAGGTTTATTTACATTGAACCTTATGGGGAAATTTGACTTGGTTCGCAACCAGTTCGGTTTGTGACCAGAATCGTGGAACGAATTAAGTTTGTGAACCAAGGTACCACTGTATATGCTAAGCTTGTGCTAATTCCTTTTGTTACGTGGATGCTTTTGTCTTACTCTAGGACTCCCTTTACTGGGATTGCTGACTTTTCCATGACAAAGAACAAAATCATTCAGCTGTGCTTGGATCTCACCACCACTGTTCAGAAGGTCAGTTAAGTTCATGAGTGTGTGTGCCACGCGCTTGTGCACATATTCCTTCTCACGCCATCCCCTGCACCTCTTCTCTTGTTCCTTCCACATTTTCACAAAGGAAGGCAAAACGTTGGTAGATGAAAATAACAGCAACGTGTAGCTTGGTAACAGCAACAAATTAGAGTCATGAGGATTTTTTAAAGCGATAACTAACGCAAGCAGGTGTGTACAGGGGTTGTCATGTTTTGTTGTTTTCCTCTCCTACAGAGGATACCCCTTTTGTTTTTACAATTTTTCAGTGTTGAAATTTAGAATTGATTACTTGGCAGTCTATTAATTTAGAAGTCTATTAGTTATATTTGAATTACGCTGCTCCAGTTTCCCAAGTATCCTGTTGTCTTGCATGGTATGTTTATGGGCCAGGTTTTATGGAAATATTTGCCATGCAGGTATTGATCTTTCTTAGCATTTTGTTCATAACAGTTATTCTATTTAAATATCATTCATTCATACATGCATGCATACATGTATATACTGGTAAAGTGAGAAGGATACTTTGAGACAAGGTAATTCTCATGATGAATAACTACTTGTATTAATGTATATGCGAGTTATTTTCAGCTGCAGCCATTCTTGCATTGCTGTGTAATCCCTGCCCCAGTTTAACAGCATGGTCATCCTTTTTCCCATCTTGGTCCAGATAAATATTTTAAATTGTATCCAGTTGGTCACCTCTGACAATTTTATTTATTTATTTATTTATTTATTAAAACATTTTTATGCCGCCCCATTCGCCAAAGCCTCGGGGCGGCTTACAACAATAAATAAAAGTAATTATAATATAAATTACAATAAATATAAACATTAAAAATGCAAAAATACAATATAAAATAAGCCACCCTGGCCAGATAAGATCAAATAATACTAACAGTTAAAATGCCGCTTAAATAAAAAGGTCTTCGCCTGGCGCCGAAAAACAAATAACGACGGCTCCAGGCAGACCTCTCTGGGGAGCGCATTCCATAACTCAGGCGCCACCGCAGAGAAAGCCCTCCTCCGAGTACCCACCCTCCTAATTTCTTTCACGGAGGGTTCCTGGAGAAGGGCCTCTGCCACTGATCTCAGGGGGTGGCTGGGCATATATGGATGTAAGCGCTCCTTCAGGTAACCAGGACCCAAGCTGTTTAGGGCTTTATAGGTCATCACCAACACCTTGAATTGGGCCTGGACTTCAATGGGAAGCCAGTGAAGCTGACGGAGAACTGGAGTCATGTGACCATAAGGCCCAGTCCCCGTCAGCAGCCTGGCAGCTCTATTTTGAACCACCTGAAGTATCCGGACCGTCTTCAAGGGTAGCCCCACGTAGAGCGCGTTACAGAAGTCAAGGCGGGAAGTCACCAGTGCATATGTCACTGTCGCCAGGCAGTCGTACTCCAGGTAGGGGCGCAGCTGATGAATCAGCCGAAGCTGGAGGAAAGCGCTCCTCGCCGCTGCTGTTACCTGAGCTTTCAGTGAAAGCTCCGGGTCGAGGAGCACTCCCAATAAGCTCTGTGATCCAGTGGAGGTGTCAATCAGTGGGAGGAAGACTATTTTTCCCTCTTGCAGTCTGAAAATTGGAGGGGCTGCATGGGGAATAGCCAAAAATCTTCCCTTCTTTCTGCTGGTCAAAGATTCCCCATCTTAAAGAGTTTTCCATCAGTGAAGTGGCATCATTTGGACACAAGCCTTAAAGGCTGGCACCAACTCTGCTTTCATTTCAGTGCCACGCGAAAACATATCTCTTCTGCACTCATTTAATAATTTTAATAATTGGTTTTAGTAATGGGTTTTAGATGCTTATTCATTTTATTGGAATTTTAGTAAATTTGGTTAGAAGCTTCACCTGGACATGCTTTTGAATGATCTTGGTTAAATCATCATCGCCATCAATTTTGATTTATATTTTAATGATGGTTTTAATGTTGTTGTTCAGTTGTAATTTAGCTGTTGTATGCTTCCTAGAGAGTCTATCTGAACTATTTGGTGGCTTACAAATACAAAAATAAAAGTCTTGTGTACAGTTGACCTAAAATTTTTACTTTCTACTTTTATTTATTTTATTTATTTATAAAATTTGTATGCCGTCTAGTTACTAACGTCTCTGGACGGCTAACAGCATAAATAAATTGATGACCCACTCTGGCTGCAATTAATAAAATACAATAATAAAATTCAATATTAAAACTTATTAAAATATTGATTAAATAAAAAGGTCTTAATCTGGTGCCGAAAAATATATAATGACGGCGCCAGGCGAACCTCTCTGGGGAGCGCATACCATAGACGGGGAACCATCGCAGAGAAGGCCCTCCTCCAGGTACTTTGCCTCCTAATATCTTTCACAGAGGGTTCCCAGAGGAGGGCTTCTCATGCCGATCTCAGGGGGCGGGAGGGCAAATAGGGAAAAAGGCGTACCTTTAGGTATCTTGGTCCCAAGTTTAGGGCTTTATAGATAGTAACCAGCACCTTGAATTGAGCCCGGACTTTGATGGGGAGCCAGTGAAGCTGGTAGAGGACTGGGGTTATGTGAGAATAACACCCAGCCCCCGTCAGCAACCTGGTTGCTCTATTTTGCACCATCTGAAGTATCCAGACTGTCTTCAAGGGCAGCCCCATGTAGAGCGCGTTACAGAAATCCAACTGGGAAGTAACCAATATGTGTGTTACTGTTGCTAGGCAATCTTTCTCCAGGTAGGGATGCAGCTGATGGATTAGCCGAAGCTGAAAGAAAGCGCTCCTCACCACCGCAGTCACTTGAGCTTCCAAGGACAGCTCCGGGTCGAGGAGCAATCCCAAGCTGCGGACCCTGTCCTTTAGAGGGAGTGCAACCCCGTCTAGGGCAAGGCCCAAGTCACCTACCCAGGTGCTTGAATCATCCACTAACAGAACCTCTGTCTTACCTGGATTGAGCTTCAGTTTATTGGCCCTCATCCAGCCCATTATATCGGCCAGGCATCGGTTCAGTACAGCCACTGCCTCACCTGGGTTAGTTGAAAAAGAGAGGTAGATCTGGGTGTCGTCAGCATACTGATGACTCTGCAGCCCAAACCTCCTGATGACTTCTCCCAGTGGTTTCATGTACGAGATATTAAATAGCAAGGGGAACAAAATGGAACCCTGCGGTACTCCATGGCAAAGTTGCCATGGCACAGAGCCAGAGTCCCCCAGTATCACCTTCTGGAATCGGCCGTCAAGGTAGGAGTGGAACCACTGCCAAGCAGTGCCTCCTATTCCCAATCCTACCAGCCTATCTAGGAGGATACCATGGTCGATGGTATCGAAAGCTGCTGAGCAGTCCAGGAGAACCAACAGGGACGCACTCCCCCTATCTCTCTCCCTGCCCAGGTCATCATATAGGGCGACCAAGGCAGATTCAGTATCTGGGTCTGAAGCCAGACTGAAATGGGTCCAGATAATCAGTTTCATCCAAGAGTACTTGGACTTGTCTTGCCACCACCCATTCCAACACCTTGCCCAAAAACGGGATGTTGGCCACCAGTCTATAATTGGCAGCCCTCTCTGGATTCAGAGACACCTTCTTTAGGACAGGCCTGATTATTGCCTCCTTTAAAGGAGCAGGCACCCGGCTGTCTCTCAGAGAGGCGTTAATAACCTCCAGGATCCAGGAACCAATCCCATGTTTGGCTTTGGTCAGCAGCTACAAAGGGCAAGGGTCGAGTAAGCAGATGGTAGGACGTACTTGTCTAAGCACCTTGTCCACGTCATCGGGCCGCATTAACTGAAACTCATCCATTAATACCTGCCCAATCGGAGTCATTGGTGTCTCCCCTAAGGGATCTGAATCAGTTGTGGAGTCCAGCTCATGGCAAATCTGAGCGATTTTCTCCTTGAAGTGCTGGGCAAAGTTGTCACAGCGGGCCATCAATGGTGGTACAGGATCTTTCTGTATAGGCTCTTTGTGAAAAGTGGAGGAAAAGGTATAGTCTTCTAAATTTCTTTCACTTTGCTAACTTGAATCTTTTCAATAGAATATGAGTAGAACTTCAGACAGTATTTGTAAAACCAAAGGCTTTTACGTAAGAGTGACTTTCCAGATGTTCTTGTCTACAGCTTGCATCAGCCTTTTGCATCAGGCCTAGCCGACAAAGCCAATGGTATCTGATAATGGAAGCTGGCCAAAATTTGGAAGGCCAGCTTCCAAAGTTGCTCACGTCTGAATATATCCTGGATTAAACATTGATTCCAAGTCTTGTGCAAAAGGACATCACATAATTAATATTGGCCCGGAGAGTTCGTCTAATGCGATGGGGCATTCCTGCACCTTGCTTCCCAGTTGCAGACTTCTGACCCCCAGCCTGATCATCCATGACAGAGTGGGATGCAGTGCTGGCGGTTGCCTTTGGATTGGAGAACTGGCCTAAACTGGAGTTCCTTTCCCTCCCCATGTGAGCGGAAGAGTGTTCTGATGGTGCAAGAGATCCATAATGTAATAAGAAAAACAACCCTGCTGGATCAAGCCAAGGGTCCATCTAGTCCAGCATTCTGTTCACACAGTGGCCAGCCAGTTGCCTGCAGGAAACATGCAAGCAGCACCTGTGTGCAACAGCATCTTGCCACCCACATTCCACCACTGCTGGTGTGCGTGGGCCTATGGCTTCAGATTCTACAGGGGGCATATAGCCACCCGGACTTGAAACCACTGATAGCCTTCTCGTCCATGAAGACCCAGGCCCCCTTTAAAGCTGTCCAAACTGCTGGCTGTCACTGCATCTTGAAATCTGCACTGAATTTCATGGTTTAACTATGCCAAGCCACTGCTTTTCAGATCAAATGTTTGAGGGGAAGGGCAGCACTGGCACAGCACATGCTCTGCATGCTAATGGACCTAACTCAACCCCTGGCTCAGTCCCCAGTATCTGCTGGTAACGCTGGGAAACATTCCTGTTTGGAACCCAGGAGAGGTGCCACTAGCCAGTGTGGGCCCATCTTGCTCATTCTAGACTGTCCGGATAGCTTCTTCCAGTTCTGAGGAAATGGCAGGAATTCCCTGGTTGAAGGATACCTAGTGAAGTTTCTCAAGCAGAGCATGAGAATCTGCCTGCTTTGGATGGGACGGAAGGGTTTTCAGGGGGTGGGAGGGCCAGTGCAGGACTCCATCCTTGGCCTGGTCTGGAGGCAACGGGAAAAGTGCACTGCCCAGTCACAGAGGCTGTGGCATTGGTACCATCTAGCCCTCAAGCAGCAAGAGCTGCCCTGAGGATGGAGTCAGAAGCTTTGTTGAAAAGGGAACAGAGGGAAAGTTTTCAGTTTGCATTCAACTCTACATGGGCAGATGCTTCTCCCTCCACTTTAGTAGGAGGCTATTTAGAGTTCACACTGTTCTGTAATCTGTTAAGTTTCAAAAAAGAATTGAACTTCAAAGGGTTCATTTCGTGTTTGATAAACAGAAAGAAAGGAGGGAAGGGATCTGCTCAAAACACAGACTGATGGTCTGATCCTATTAAAAAGCAGCATTCTGTGTTCTTGTAGTGAATCATCTCTTCTCTTGTGAGGGAAGGTTGTGATCAAGAATGCCATGCATGAAAGATACTATGCCACCTGTACTCTGCCTTGGCGCAAGACACTTTGAGATTTGAACAAGAGTCCCACACAGTCTGCTTGCATATTGGGAGTAGTTGCTTCATGTTCACAAGCTTGTTTTCCCACAGGAAATGTTCTTAGGATCATCATCAGAGGCCCCTTACTGTCACCTGTATTCCATGTATTTGACTTAAAGTACAAGCCAGCTCTGTCAAAATGTCAGCTTGCCACTACAGAAGAACCAATAATAGAATATTTTGTTTCTGTTTTTGTTTCTAAAGGACTGCCCTGTGGCTGAAATGGAAGATAAAGTTCTCAGTGTGGTAAGTATAAAAGTTTGTGTCAAATTCATTCTTCGAATGCCTTTCAGTTTGAGACAGCTTTTTCTCACCCCTACCCACCCACAAATGCGTTGGCTGAAAGCAGCTTTGCATAATATGAAGCGCAAGCGGAAAGGAAGGTACCAGGGACTTGGCCTGCCTGTCTCCTGTGGTTCTCAAATAGTCCCTAATAAATGTTACTTCTTTCTGCTATGTTTGTGAGAAGCACAAGTCTCTGTTGGATAGTACCAGAAGCCCTGTGCAGGCACTTAGCCTTCTCCTGTGAGGACTAAACGTGGGGAGGGACCTTGGGTGTCCCTGCAAGTTCTGCTCCAGCATCGCACCCACTCTTTTCCTGGCCTTCCTATCCTGAGAGTGAAGGTCTGAAGGGGTCTTCTACTCATGTTCACTTGAAGGCACTTAGATGTCTTCTGGGAGTGCTGTCTGCATGCTAGTGGGACACATGCTAGCACTGCAGGAAGCTAGAGGTCCCTGAAGCAACTGGAAAGAGTGGGAATGCTTGTTTCTGGAATTGGTCAGCTCAGCAGAGCTTACAGAAAAGAGCATTTCTTCTTCTTTCCAGGGTTGCTCTGTGAGATACCAATTCCTGCCATGTAGTGGGCCATCTCATGTTCACACCGAAACTAGCAAATGTGCCAGGATGGTACTGGCTGCTGTCTTCTGTCCTGGGAAACCTGCCTGTACAAGGTTTCCGTTCAAGTGGAAGTGTTTATTTCAAGCAAATCCAAGTGGACCCCCCCCCTTCAGGTGTGGGAATGTTAAGGACTGAAGGGATAGACCCTTGGAGGTGGGCTTGTATTCATGCCTATGTTTCCTCCCCACTGGTTTCTTTATCTTCATATCTGTTGTCTTCGTCTTCCTCCTCCTGCCCTCATGTGAGCATAGGACTGGCAGCCTGCAAAGGAGTCTAGGAAACAAGTACAGGAGACACATATAACATTTTTTTGGCTGTAGCTTCAATTCTGTGCCATACATAAATGAAACATTGAACTAATAACCTAAACATTGTAAATTTGTTTTGTTTGGTTGCCTAGAGTTTCTCTTAATTTCTCAAATTTTATTGTATAGGCACATCTTTGAATTCTCACTGTAATTTGGGAAGCAAAATTCACACCATGTACATTAACATACACAGACTCCTGCAACGAGAGCAATAAAGCTGTCAACCTGGAAGGAAATACCCCTTACTCTTAGAAAAGACCTTCACTACTTATGGTGGTATAAAAACATTCTGTTCCTAGTTACAGTTGATCTGAAAGGGGAGTTTTCCAAATATTTTTGCAGCAGTCTTGTGACTAGAAGAGGGATGCAGTGACATGCTTTTAATATTTTGTAACAGTTAATCATCGCTTCCTGCTTTTGACATGAATCAGGCTGTGCTCTTTGATAAGGCCTTCCGCCTGGTGATAGATGCTTAGGAATTCACAAAAGCTAAAAATACACACACCTCAGTTGAATGCTGAACAATTAAAGAATTCTCCTTTTAAAAAAGAAATTCCATACTCCTTTCTATTTATTGCCTTTTACCCTTTTATTTTTGCTGCAGCATTGTTTTGACTTATTTAAAATCATTATTGTTACATTGTCAACAATGGTGTGTGAATGTATGCATGTTAGCCAAAATATTGTACATGCCGGCCACTTTAGGCATCAGTTCCATGCCTAATAAGCCAGGCTGTGCATGAGTTTCATGTACCCATATCAGTGTTTCCTTCAAGAAAGTCCTGAAACAAACCAAACAGTGCAACTTTCCATTGCATCCAAGCTGGGAACTATGGTTACTGGGTTCTAAACAGGTCAGAATATGGAAGCTAACTTTATTTATTTATTTATTTATTAAAACATTTTTATGCCGCCCCATTCGCCGAAGCCTCGGGGCGGCTTACAACGTTAAGTTAAAAAAATAATTATAACATTAAATTAAAAAATACAAACATTAAGTTAAAATGCAAAAATACCAATATAAAATAAGCCAATATAAAATAAGCCGCCCTGGCCGCCTTTAAACTGTGGTTTAAAGCTAGGATTTAAATCTTTAAACTAGGCTATTGAACCAGGGTCACGTCCATCTCAAGGTTGCCTAATCCTTCTGTGGTAGTGACTTTCCAAGGTCTCTGGGCCAGCTGGAGTTCTTTTTCTAGCTTGCTTTTCTTTTAGACAAGAGGTGCCAGAAAGTTCACCAGGGGCCTTCAACATGCAGAGTGCATGTTCTGTTGCTAAGCTATAAAACAGCTCTTTCTCCCACTGGGGTATTTTGATCTCAAAATTGAGGTGCAAGGAATCTTAGAGATGATTCCAAGCATGTTAACATCCCACTGGTTTCAGTGAGACATGATCCCTAGTAAGTATGTTTAGGACTGTAACCTTAGATGTGTCTCTCAAGCATCTTCTTTTCCTCTGACACTTTCGCTGTACGATTTGCTAAAATACTTCTGCTTAGATATTTAGGCCTACGATGGATGCTGGGATTGGATCTTAGGAGCATGTAAAGCAGCCTACCAGTAATGCTTTATGTGAGCCAGGTGATTCTTCCAGAGTGAGAAATTCCAAATGGGCAGAAAGGAGCATGCTTGTTGAAAAAATCACTCCCACCTCAATCGTACTTGAATTTGAGGCAGTTTAGCTAATAATGATAGATTAGAAGTGAAATAACCAAACCCTTGTAATAAAATTTCACTTATGTACACCAATTCAAGCCTCAGGGCAAAAGCTAACCCAAAGAGAAAGGTTTTTAATACATAGGGAAAAGGTTGAATGTGAGTCTTGGTTGGGTTCCTAGTGGGAAAGAATTCTTCAACCAAGAAGTGGTCACTAAGAACATGTACTTATTTACTCCAATTTGGGGGGGATTTGGTACATAAACTGAAGATGGCATCCTTGACCAGTGATGGTGAAAGTCTTGGGACACAAGGGAAGAGACAATGTCATAAGCACCCGAGCTACTTAAAACTTTAAAGACAGGACCAGCTAAGGAGAGAGAGATAGCTGCCTCAGATGGCAAATGATGGGGGTGGCGCCATCTTCCTTCCATCTTTCCTGATTTCACTGAGATAGTCTGTCCTGCACTCCCTAATCAACCCTGCTGTCCTCGCATATAGAGAAGATTTTGCCCTTATCACCAGTGTTGAGATCCAGTGGCCAGTTCAGTCAGATTCTGCATGTGGAATGGTGTGTTTGTCTCTGTTCCATTTTGTTCTTTGCCTCAGGCGGCAAAGTGTTTTGGGCCAACCCTGCTTAAAGGTCATACACAATTGGAATAAGAGGCCCATGCACATGACATGACATGCACCCAGCAACCTTCTCTCTTTAGGGAGCAGGCCTGTGTCCCTCTCTGTTCAAAGCCTCTGAACTGTACAGAAGTGTGGCCTTTGAGTAGCTCATTAGTTGTCTTGCTTTACATTACAAAGAATTACGGCTTCAGGTTTTGAATATGACAGGAAAAACTACAAGGTTCTCTGGATGCAGTTGATAAAGATATTCCTGGCAGCCGCTGCAGCCTATAAATCTGGGTACAGTAGCAAATTAAAGACTTCTTTTTGGGTCCAGAGAGAACACAAAGTCTATGTACAAAACAAAACAATTACAAAATGAATACTGTAACTCCTATTCTTGGTTTCTTTTAGTCCAAGGTTTTGAATGGAATTTGTGATAAGACAATTCGGTCCACCACTGATCCATTGATGAGCCAGGGTGCATGTCTTGAGGAGGTTCATTTAACCAACATCAAACCCGGGGAAGGCCTGGTAAGATTATGTTCCTTTTGCTCTTCTGAAATTCCGCCTGCTGCTCCCTTTCAAGCTTGTTTGAACTGGTCTGGTCTCTCTGAAGCAAATGTGATTATGTTGGTGTGAGAGCAACCACTCTGTGTTAGATGAGCTTGAATTGACAGTCCACAGGCGCTTCCATACTCTTCTAGAAAGGCAAATGGGGAATTTCGCCATGGCCTATCTATCTGCACATATAAGAGAATGGAAGAGATCTTACTGTGTTGTGCTCAGTACTAGCATTGAAAAACCTACAGATTCCCATTTCCAGTAATGTCAAGATCTGCTAAGGTCATAATGCTTATTAACCAGAAAGGTCTACTTTACTTAGTTCAAGTAAAGGAAGCAGTGCAGCGTACATAGATTGAAATAAAGGGGTTTTTTTTTGCAGTGGCAGTAGGTTTCATGTTTCTGCAAGCTTTGGAGGGGTGTATACTCTGCATTAAATATATTCTGCTCTGTGAAGAGCTGAATTTTGCAGGATGATTTATTTGTTATGAATGGCTGCTTGGGCTGTGCTTGATCTTGATTTTCAGGAGATGTTACAACTTAGTCTGAAGGTGAAACTGGTTCTGAAAATTTCTCGAGCACTTCACAGAACTCCTGTATTTGATATCAATGTCCTTGTTTGCAAAAGAGAGAGAGAGATTGGGCAGTATAGAGTTTTGCTTGTGTAGTGTTGGACCTCTCCTTGCACAATGGAAAGCTCGAGGATCCTGAAGCCATCAGAAATAAGCAAAAATGATGGTTTCCAAAAGGGTGACTAGAGTTTGTGCCTGTTTCTGGGCTAACTTCAAAAGCACTTCTTTTCTGTTGTGCAAGCAGTAGGCCCTGTGAAGTGCAATTGCCACACTGGATACTGCTGTAAGTACACAAAAGGATGCATTCTTATTCCCTTTCCTCCCCTCAAAAAAAGAAGAAACCCCTTCCAAAATGCATCTTCTGGTCAGCCCCACATTCAAGACTTTTTTTTTCTCCTCCAACCCCCCCCCCCACCCAAAAAAAAGAAAAAAAAGAACTTGCAATCTGGTTTGGTCAATTTTGCAAGTTGTGTAGGTCTCAAGCAAGTAATTCCATTTAATATATTAGGGATGTATGGCTTTTTCCTTCTCCATCCTGAGAATACTCTCCACTTCTTCATTTGTATAGCTAATAAATGGTAGATTGTATAGTTTAAAAATGCAACCACCAAAGTGGGGAAAGTTGCACTTCAGAAATAATGAGTCTGTCTGCAGCCTTTATGTAATTGAGGGTGAACTGTAATTGCTATTCTGATTACTTTATCTTTTCAACTATCCAAATTAGGGAATGTACATAAAATCTACTTATGATGGATTGCATGTTGTCACTGGAACAACAGAAAATGTAAGTATTTTTAATGTCTTTCTCTAAACAAAATTAACACAAGCTACTAGAGATAAGATGGGACCCAAAGCACCAGCTGGACTAAAAGCAGAATCTGTACGTGTCAGAATTTGATTTATTCGGGTTTCACAACATTATCATTAACTTCTCCTTGCCTGCAATAATTAAGAGTGTGCTTCATTGGCTGTATCTGCCTGTCTGATATCAACTCATTAGTTCAGTTTGCAGTATGCAAATAGACAGGAATGTTTCAAAATGCCATTGGGTTTAAAATAACTGGAATTACCAGAACTATTGTTGAGTGCAGCATTTATGGTGTTTGGTTTAGCCAAGGCTGGCTGAGCAAATACATACTTCCATCATGGGCTCTGTCCCTTATAAAAGCAGCAGCAGCAGGATGTTTAGACTGGTAATAGAATGTCAGATTCCATATACTTCCTGGAATAAAGGGTTTTTTTTAAGATAACAGAAACAGATCATTTTAATTGCAAAGGTTTTGAGAATGGAAAAGGAAAGGCTGTGGGAATGTTGATTGGCATGGAAAAGAACCTTAGTTAATGCTGTTTCAGTGATGATAATGTTCCTTCTGAATCAGAAGACAATGAATCTCTTCTCTTGTATCTGGCAGAATTGATGTTGAAGACTGATAATCATGAGAGTTTTAAACCTTGTAGTACGTACCAATGTTGATTTCTGTTGAAATATTTGAGGAATGGCTTTGAGTACAATTTAATGGACAGCACCATGTTTTGCACAAGATTCAGGGGTTTTCGAACTGAGTAAAATGATTTGGGGTTATATTGGCTGTTTAGGTTTGGTTTGGTTTGACTTGGCTTGGTTTTGAAGAAAGCAGTGCCACTAACATAAATTAGCAGTCATAAAATATTGAATCTCCTTTAACTTTGTTGAGATAACCCCAGCTTCCATTTCTGCGAAGTGCATTGTTTCTACAGATGTGTGGGAGATCGGCACATTGCGGATAGTCTCCCTTCTGTGTTTTGCATTTCATAGCAATGGCATGGTCCTGATGTAGGGAGTAAATCCTTGACCCTTCATTGCTGCTTCACATTTGCTGTCGCTCTGAGAACAAGCATAGAGGAAAACCTGAGCTGGCAGTCGTGAAATATTCAATTCAAATATTCAAGTGCTGGGAGATGTGTCCAGTTCCAGTCAGGTGACAGGATTTCCAAGTTGGTTTTAATGGCTTCTGATTTCCTGCTTTTTGTGGGAATGCTGTGGCCTGAGCAAACCTTTCTGGTCATATCCTGCAGTTTGTGACGGAAACTTGACGAGATGTTTCTGTCTCTGTCTCTCTCTCTCTCAAATTAATAAGCTTGGTATTCCTTGATACATGCACCACCTACTTTAGATTTTTACACTTGAGTCCTCAGAGACATCATTGGCTAGATCCTTTGACAAACAGCTATTTCTGTACTGAGAAAAGGGAGTTGCTTGCTGCTGCTGGAGACTCCGGGTCTTTCCCAAACTCCTTCCTGTGCCCTTTACAAAGATGCTGCATGTGTCATTTTGCCTCTGGATTCCTACTTTGTATGGGAGGAATATGTTAGATTAGTCAGACAGCGACAAGCGAGGGCGTCTTTCCTAATGAGAATTGCATTCTCAGGGAGCTCAAGGGGATTACCCCACCCTCTGCTGAACAGGGGAAATGAGGCATTTGTTGTGGCTGTACATCACCTGCCCTTCCTTTCTGATGTGAGTTGTCAGAGTAGCATGGGGTGGGATCTGGCTTTTTGGCAGCGGAGGTGTTCGAAACATCAGCTGCAGTCATGTAACCTGTGTCAGCTGGATCAGAGTAAATATTTAAGTGCCAAACCCCTGCCTGCTAAGTGTGCCATCTTTCTTGTTAGGATATCTCGCTGTGCCATTTTGTTTTGCCTTGTTTTAAAGACTCCTCTCCCTTTCAGTTTACATAAACAAGCAGATAGTGTGTTCCCTGGGAGTCAGACAAATGGCTTCAAGAACTGTACTAGAGATGTCAAATTAAATTTGCAGCTCTTTATTAGATAAATAAGCAGTCAAGAACACAACAACTGAAATGGCTCATGTGTACTGTGGTCAGTTTTATTTTTAGTAACATGGAGTCCAGGTGCATAGCACCTAAAATTATGTTTGCAAAAATTTGGAGTGTAATCCAATGCATGCTTTCTCAGGATAAAGGCTTATCACTCTTAGTATGCCCTAGTCAGCATTGCAAAGACTTTTAGGCTTTTCTTCTGTCTAAAGATGCATAGGATGGAGCCTCAAGTTATTTTCAAGCACACTTTCCCAGCCTAGTGTCTGTCAGTTGTATTGGACTGAAGCTGTCATAATTTCCATGAGAATTTTGAATTCGCACAGGAATTTCCCCCCCAGGATTTTATAGAAGGTGGTATAAAGGGTAATGGACTTGCTGTGTATGCTTTCATAAGGACCAAACTAGACAAGGCATCAGCCGCCCATGCATCAGAACTGGATAACTATTAATTCCCTTAAATTCTCTTCTGTGGAGGGGTGGAGACAGAGAAAGAGATCTAAAATGATCTCAGAAGTGATATTCGAGGCAGTGGCTTCCAGCAGCCAGAGCATATTTGCCAGCTCCTACCAGACGGGGTCCCCCAAGCAGGAGAGCACTTGCTATATGAGGAGTACCTGCTTTGCATGCAGAACTCTCCAGTTCAGGCCCAGGCATCTCAATTCAATGGTGTGGTCATCTATTATTATTATTATTATTATTATTATTATTATTATTATTATTATAACATTTCTATGCCGCCCCTTGCCGAAACCTCGGGGCGGCTTACAACACGATAAAATACAATGAAATACAATAGCACATAATAAATTACCATTAAATACAAAATACAAAAAATACATTGGTTTACAAATATAAGATTAAAATTATCAGTATAAATTAAGTAAATAAAAATATAGGAGGAGAAAGAGAAGGAAGAAGAAGTTGCCCTGGCCAGATCATATGTTTTAACAATTAAAATGATGTTTAAATAAAAAGGTCTTTACCTGGCACCGAAAAAAATCTAGGCCCCATCAGTGGGAATAATGTCAGACCTTGGAGAGCCCCGTCAGTCTGAGCAAGTGTATTTATTTGATTTATATCCCATCTTTTTCTTTTCCTGAGTTTTAAAGAACTCAAAGCAGCTTACACCATTCTCCTCTTCCTGTTCTCAGTCTTATCCCCACAAAAACAACCCTGTGAGGCGGGTTGAGCTGAGAGTCTGTGACTGGCCCAAAGTCATCCAGTTAGCTCCGTGGCTGAGCTGAGCAGGGACAAGAGCCCACATCGCCTAACTCCCAGGCCTGTGCTCTTAACCACTGCAGCACACTGGCTCTCATAGGGTTGAACATGAGGTAACTGAAGTCTGCTGTGGGATGACTGAAGTTGCTTCCTTTCATCTGGCTCTTGGGCCTTTTCATATCTGTGTGATAAAGAGAAACAGTGTAAATGGTGCATTGCTCATCCTTGCAGCAGTACAGAAATTGTTTCTGCTGCAGTTCTGCTTCATTCCTCATATCAAACCAGAAAGTTGCCAAAAGAGTTGGTGTTTGCTTTTGGTAACATGGAAGCATCGATCCATAGTCCCTTGGGGCAAATCTGGTTTGCCTCAGCTCTCAGGCCTACCCTTGGGAAGATGGGATGACCACACCTCCTTCCTCCCCACCAGCCTTTGCGCATCCCCCTCCCCACAATATTCTCAAAGTATGAGAGGCCCTTTTTGAGGTAGAAAAAGCTTGGAGCTAGAATGTTCTGGAACTTTGTCCCTGCCCCCTTTTGCCTTCAGTCTTGGCCTCCCCTGCAATCTGGTCTGGGAGCATCTTCAAAATTGAATTGGGTGCTTGCACTGAAAGAAGTTCAGTGCCCCCATGGTAGTAGTTACCCCCAGGAGGGTCTGAGCTGCTCAGAGTCTAAAGTCCTTAATCAAACGTTTACAGATTTGCTGTTTCTTTTATGTAAACAAGTTCCTGAACTTCAGTTGCATGGTAGCATAATGCTTCCAACATTAAAGGGACAGCTATCTGGATAGGGCATAATCCTTAGTTTCTGGGTCACCCATTCGGTGACCTAATGATGACTGTTTATATAATAGTTACTCTTCCTCATACAGTGAATGGTAGAGTGAGATGATGAGACATCTTGCACTGATGACAGAACCTGTTCTCCATCTTAAATGCTTGGTGACCTGCTTTTCAGCCTCATTCTCTGCCATCCTGGTGGGGTTTCCATGCAATAGACAAGTCTTTCCTACCCACGTACTTGCTTGTTATAATGGCAAGCGTTCTGTTAGCGTCTTAATTAATAGTTGTGCTCTCCATCTCTTATGGGAGGGAGCAACTGTATCTCACATAGGAACATGGGCACACCTATTTATGCCAGCTTTCTCTCAAAGTTACAAAAAAGTAGGGGGTGGTTTGATAGTGTTTTAAACAGCAAAGGAATGAAAACTTGCCTTTCTCTTTCTGTTCCCTGTAGTCTCCTGCTGATCGGTCTCAGAAAATTCATGCTGGTGATGAAGTGATCCAGGTGAATCATCAGACTGTGGTGAGTGAAGGCCATTTCTTTTCACCCTTTCCTAGACTTTTAGCCAGCAGGTTTCAGAGGGCAGGTAACTCACAAGGGAGACTGTAGATTGATTTACTGGGATTGATTTAATTTTTTTTTCAATCCAGTCCTTGGGGTTTGTATCAGAGCATTGTGTCACCTCGTTGGTTGTCCTGCATCAGAAAGGCGAAATCCCTGCTCAAAGGCAGCTTGAAGCATGGATTTTAAAAAAATTGGTCATAAATCATTTTTACTAAGGAAAAAAAGCAGGTTTACATGGCCGATTTTCATCAAAACTTTGTGTTTAAAACACTTGTGAGAAATACTCAGAGTACTGAATACTGAAAAAAGGTAAGGTCAGTGAGATGTTTTACAAGGCTATCCAAGTGAAAAAGTTGCTCCTGAAGGAGAATTGTTTGTGTGTATTTGTGAGTGGGACATATTACACATTTCCACAAGAGGCACCTGCCGTAATCTCTGGCATCTCCAGCTGAAAGGATAAGGACAGTGATGGAATCTCTACCTGTGCTTGCTGTGCCATCTCACTACGTGCCTCTGTGGAAGCAGGTGTTGTCCCTTGCCAGCTTGACTAGCCTGGGAAATTCTGGGCTGAGCGTTCCAGCAGCTCCGGTGCTTAGCCCCGTGTGTCTGTGGAATCCTGGATCTCCTGCTGACAGCTGTTTCCTGTGCTTATCGCATTTTCCAAGCAAAGAGACACGGGGCCGGGGATATGACTGATACGCCATGCACTTGCTGCCAGGTGAAGATTTCCACTGCTGCTCAGTTGGGAAGCCGTTCAGTGGAGAGGAGTGCTGGGGAAGTCTGGCCACAAAGTGCTACCGTTTCTCATCGCACAAGCTACATTGCATAACAAGCCTTGGTTTACGCCAGTCCAATATCATTAGCACTGATGCTTGCAACACAGTTGGATCCTACCCACTTTGATTTGCAACTGATGCAGACTAGATGCCGTCTCACTTACTTAATTTTGTCTGTTTTGAAGGTGGGATGGCAGTTGAAGAATCTTGTAAAGAAGCTCCGTGAGAATCCCTCTGGAGTTACTTTGTTGGTGAAGAAACGGCACACGGGCTCTTTCAATTTTACTCCTGCCCCACTTAAAAACCTAAGGTGGAAACCGCCACTCGTTCAGGTGATGCAATTATAGGAAGCATTTAAAATGTTTTGCCTTGAAATCCATTCTTTTGCATTGACTTATTGACTGGATGAGCGTTCTTCTTCATGATGTTGAGGATGATTAAAAGGCTGTTAAAATATACTCATATATTTAAAAAAATCTCACCTAAAACTTAGGAAAAGTCAAACTCTGCTCAGTATGGCCGCAAATAACTGAGGTTGCAGTTCTGTGACAGTTTAGACAGAACAAGGTCTTCAACTCCCAGCAGTCATCCAGTTGCAGGCCAGTTTTTGGTCCATTCTTGCATAGGATTAGATCTTGGCTCAATTAAAACTGTAGTGCAAGCACACTGAATAGCCCTTCATGGACTTTCCACTACAGACTGCATAGGGGTGGAGGCATTGTGTGCTTAATGAGAATCCCATTTAAAAACCAACCTACTTTCTAAGTGCATGGTAAACAAGCATGCTGAGAAATGGGCTTAATGTAGCTTGGTCCCTGATATGCTGCTTTCTCATTGGCTGGGGCATTTTTTAACAGATCTATTTCCTAGATCTGTTAACACCCCTCCTTGCAGTCTCACGTAGTTTATACCAGGAAAGTCTGTGGGTTTTTCTGCACATTTTAACTGATGTTTGAAGATGCTGTGACTTCAGTTGGTCTCTAAAAAAGGGAAACCCACAATGGTTTGTTATATGCCCTTGCAGGCTAAACTTGGTGCATGGGTAGCCAACTTAAGAAGACACTTAAAGGTGTTAATAGGATATGAAATGGAAATGGTCTCTTGGACTCATCCAGTTTAGGGTTTTATTTTATGAGGTCAAATTTGGCATTCAATTAAGTCAGGAAGGCACTAGGGAGATAATGTTTGTGCTGGAGCTATAGTGCAATGTGCATAAATTTGTATGAATTGCTCTTGTGAAACACTGTAGCTCCAATTTAAAAAATAATGTATTCCCATAATTTTGCATCAACAGGTAGTTTAATCAAAGTAGCTTAGCTGTTACTGCACAGCCTAAAAAAGGTAAATGTTCAGGAAAAATGTATGAAATCTCTTTTTCCATAAATAGTCTTTCCTCTTTAATAGACCAAAAGAATAGGAAGTTGGGGGTTGAATGATGTTTTTTCTCCCTTTAATCCCTAAAAGACAGTGTTGATCAGGCTAGATATCTTAGATTGAGGCCATTTGGGGCTGAATTGCTTATAATCTTCTGGACAGATGAAGTAAACAGTAAATACTTGCTGGGCTGGCAAACTGATGATGAGAGATTATATTTGCTAAACAGAGCAGAGTTATCCAGAGTTTGTAGCCCAGCTGAACTGTGATGCTTTTCTTCTTTGTTTTATGGTGGGATGTTTGCTCTTGCCATTCCCAACATCAGCAGAACTGGGGATGTGTAACCTGCGGGGGAGAGAGAGGGTGTGGAAAAACATGAGGATTAAATGCTTTTAAAAGAGCAATTTTGAGGCTGAAAGGCTAATAGCAAGGGAGGGAGAGTGGTTTAACTTCTCCAGGAAGTTGACTAATAAATGAATAGCTTATAAGCATAGGATGATGATTATGATCATTATTATTATATTATTCTATTGATATTCCACCTGTTCCCAATACTGGGACTCAAGGCAGCTTTCAATATTAAAATATAATATGATTAATATATTAAATTATATATATATATATATATATTCATAATATAGGTTAAATATAGTAAGTAGAATATTAGAGACTCAAATGATAGAGTAGAATGAATAGAAACTCTAAAAATATATAAAATAAAATGAGTCCAACACAGTCTCACAGGTCCTGACTATTCCCAAAGGCCTGCTGGAACAGAAGGTTTTTGTCATCCTCCAGAAGCAAGCAGGGCCTCCCTGGGGAGAAAGTCTCGAGGAGGCCCTTTCCTACTAAGTGTCCTGAGAAGATGGTGGGACTGAGAGAAGGGCCTTCCTGGAAGATCTTAGCTCTGGACAGGCTCATAAGGGAGAATGAAGCTTTTCAGATAGCTGGGGCCCAAACCATATAGGGCCTTATACGGCATCACCAGCACCTTAAATTGGTCCTGCAAACAGACAGGGTGCAATATCCAGCCCCAGCCAATAGTCTGGCAGAACTCTTGGAACCAAACACTCTTTAGAGGCAGCCCCACGTAGAGCGCATCACAGTGCTCCAACCAGAATGTCACTAAGGCATGTGGCCACCACTGCAACCTGAACATCCAGGCTCGGGGCTGAATCCATCCATACACACAGCGGTGGACCTGAGTCTTTGGAGGATGGGGATAATCCCGCCCAGCAGTGGCTGAATCCCTGCTCCTTGATCCAACTTCTAACTGATCAGGCGTACGCCTGTCTTGTCCAGATGAAGCTTCGGTTTGTTTGCCCTCATCCAGTTCATGACCAAAACAGCTTCCTTATATGGTAGGTAGAAAGGTTGGTTGCACAGGGCACTCGTAAGGGCACAATCTTGTGCGTATTTGGACAGAAAAAGTCCTACAATTCCAAGCATGTCCCAGCCCAGCCATGCTGCGGGAATTGGTAGAACTTCTTTCTGTCTGAACATGCATGGGATGGCACCCTGAGTTACATACCAAATTATCTGTTTTCTCTCACTGCAGACCAGCCCACCTCCAACTACAACCCAGTCACCAGAAAGCACCATGGAGACTTCACTGAAGAAAGAAAAGCCTGCCATTTTGGACCTTTACATACCTCCACCGCCATCGATTCCGTATGCTCCTCGGTATGCCCTTACCTTCCTCCTTGCTTCAGGAAAACGGAACAAAGCAACTGTTCCGTTGCTATTTTGGACTTCTCTGGGCTTGCTTGCATACAGGCTTTGAGTAAATTGGCTTGACAAAAGTGCACATTGCCAAGATTTACTTCCCATTTCATTGGGGTTTGAGCTACTAAGCATATAATTATGCATTATTTCCATTATTATTATAAGCATTATTTCCTGCTGTGGGGGAGAACATCTCATCCTGCAGACGGATCTGCTGTGGGCTACAAATACCATAATGTCTCCAGAAATCCACTAACTGAGGTATATCTCTCAAGGGGATAAGAATACAGCAAAAAAGCAGTGCTTAAACTTTTTGAGCTCTATATTTGTCACCCTGCCTTGCTGTTCTTACTAACTTAGAATTTGCTACATGATAGAAAACCAAGCCCACCTGTGCCTCTGGGGACAATGCTGGACCTAAGCCCACTCCCAAACTACAAAGCAAATTGTGCTACTGGGTCTCAGAGGCGTGGACCTAGGTGTTGGGCTGTCTCCATGGCAGCTCCTCCAGGCCCTCTCCCACCCTCTTACACATAGGGTTGGGAATCTGGCTAAATGGAGTAGACTCTTATTTGGGAAGAATAAGAAGTGGACTAACTGGTACTTGCTTTTTTCAGAGCATGTTTTCTTTGTAGCATAGAAAACCCATCACCAAAAACATCTGGGCCGAAATTAGATGCAGTCCTGATCATGCCTTTGTTTTTTCTCTTTCCCTCTTCTGATAAATCTCATGGGGAGCTGAAAAGTGTCATCATACTCAGATGAGAATGAGGATTGCTCATGTGTGCAGCAGCACAATATTTAAGTTGCTACATGCATCTGATATCTTTTCAGGGATGAGAAGGGGAGCTTTGTGTATGGAGGAGGCAATAAATTTAAGCAGCCACTACCTGGTTCCAAAGGTGCAGAATCTCCTAATTCTTTCCTGGACCAGGAATGCAGGAGGAGAAGGTTTACTCTTACTGACTCAGATCCATTGCCTGGCTATTCCATGGAAGTAAATATTCTACCAGCAAAGATGAGGGAAAAGACACAATCCTACGGTAAGAAAACCGTTGTTGTCATTCAAAACATTAAACTGCTCACTTCATAAAAGCCTTGAAGTCCTTATATTCAAATTTGGAAGATGAAGAAGCTTAGCTTTCTATGAAAATACATGTCTGAAACCACATAGTATTTGCCAAAGTGAAATGCTGTTGAGTCACCACTTTTTAACAATTGACATTGTTTAAAAAGTTTTGGCAATGCTTAGATGCCAAAAGTCTGTAAATGATGAAACCTCTAATGAAAAGCTTTAAACATAAGAGGCTCAAATATGAGACCATGTGTATGTCTACAAGTGTAATATTTAGGTGTAATCCTATACATGCTGACATGGGACTGAAATCAGTAAGATTTATTTTTCAGTAAACATGCAGAAATTTGCCTTGTTAATGGCATTTAAGCAAGCATTAGTGCCTGCCTCACCTTCGTAAAAGTAGATTTAGCCTATGCAGTGATACATGAACACAGGAAGCTGTCTTGCACCGAGGCATAGCCCTGGTCCATCTAGCCCTTTATTGCTGACCCTGGCTTGCAGCAGCTCTCCAAAGTTTTAGGCGGGATTTTTCCAAGACCTGCCCTGGAGAGGCTGGGGATTGAAGCTGGAACCTTCTACATGCAAGTATGTGCTCTGTCACAAAGATGCAGCCCCTGCTGGGATCTCTAGTACACCACTGTCTATTTACTAAGAACAGTCTTCCTATAAATATCAGGAGGTAGGGGCATACAAGAGGGGAAGAACATCATGTCTGCACCCGACTTGGTACTATCTAGAAACATCTTCTGACAGCTGCCAAAAACAGAATGCCAGACATGATAGAATCATAGAATAGTAGAGTTAGAAGGGGCTAGAGGGCCACTGGGTCCAACAACCCACTTAGTGCAGGACTCCAAGTTAAACCATCCCTCTCAGATCACTGTCCAGTTGCATCTTGGCCTGATACAGCCGGGCAGCCCCCCCTCCTCCCCTTTTTGGCAGGCCCTCTTGACTAGCTTCTTTTTGTTGACATGGCCTGTGTACATTCCTGGAATGACTGTTAATGTTGCAGTCAGCCTTCATACTAGCACTGTATGCTTTGAACCCTTTAGGGAAGCCTCGTCCCTTGTCTATGCCTGCAGATGGGAACTGGCTGGGAGCGGTAGAGCCTTTCTCTAAGCCCCGGGCAATGGGGAGAAAAGGTAAGCAACTGCGCTGAAGGACAGCTGTGTTCCTCAGTGCCCTTTGCTCAGTGTGGAATCTGCTCATAGTGAAGGCGCCTGTTGGCAGTTCACCTTGCTGGTTGCTGTGGGTTTGCCTTGTGTGGCACCTGCAAAGTGGAAATGGGAATCCTGATTGTTGGAACACTTTCATTGAGGTCAGTAGGCATGTTGTTGTTACAGCAAGTGGCGACTTGGTCAATTTAAATTGAGGTGGCCTTGTATGGATACATGGAAGGCTGCTCCTTGTTACAGTGTCCTTGTAGCCCTGGCCAGGAACACCTGGCCTGGCCTGGCACCTCCAAATGTGTTGGATTCAACTTCCACTATTCCTCGCCATTGGCTATGCTGATTGGGCCTGGTGGGAGTCACAAATCAGTGCTCTTAGAGGGCACCAGGTTGCCTGTCCCTGCAGTCGTGTAAATCTCTCTTGCTGAGCTCCAGGGTGGGTAGATCATTGGGGCAACAAATCACGTCCGTTCATGTTGTAGATGCTTTATCTAAACCTTTGTCCAGGACTGGCAGACTGTCCCAGACCAAAGATTGATCGCTTGAAGGTAAAGGACAAGACTGAAGAATCATGAAACTTTGGCCTTGGTTTCTTCTGCTTCATTGTGTTTTCAAAATCAACTGGCCAGCCAACCTCATCTTAAGATCATGGCAGCAATTAAGGCCTGATGCGCTTGGAAAGGCACAGTTGCTTTTGAGGAATAGCCCTGCTTACCTCAAGACACAGGAATTAATTTCTGGCTTGAGAAGCAAACCTGCTTTGCATGCCATGGTGAATCCTTGGGTTGTTTATTCCAGGAAATAACGAGACACATGGAAGAGACTGAGCACACTGCTTTCCTGTCCACTTCTGCTTTTAATTAACAATCTAGCCATGCCCCATTTCTGGGTTGTGAATCTGCAAACTCTGGTTAGTTTAGAGGTTAAACAACCTAGATTTAGCCCAATAACAAACTATGAGTTAACTGAGCCGTTTTAACTCTTAAGTAATCCAGTGTTTTGAATTTTGCACATCACAGAATAACAAATGCTAATTAATAACTGTAGCAGATCTCTGAAACTGTGAAGCAACTAAGGTGCAACATTCCACACACCACACGTATTTCATAGCCACAGACTTTCTAATAGCATCAATTGCACAAGACGGACAAACAGGTCATAGAGATTATGAATGCAGTCAAGGTAGTCGTGGGTGTCCTTTCGTCAAGGTGTTTATGTGTGGGAGGGCACTGAAAAGGAATGAGGGAGGACGGCAGTGGCACTAACGAGATTGCAAGAAACAACAAGCCATTCCTAACGACCCGTGATTGCTGCATCCCGCTCCACTCGGGTAACAAGAAGTCTCCTGAAAAATAGTGGTTTTCCAGCTTTTCTACATGTTCTCTCCCCTTCTAGGATTACTTTCCTTACAGTTACTGGCTGTAAGAGCTTTAAGCTAAAATTTGCTGGTCTTTTTGGCCCCACCACTGCTGCCCAGCTCTCCTTTACCTTAGCTCCACCCACCACTGGAATGGGGCTCCTGAGAGCTCCTCAGAAGTGGAGTTCAATCTCAGGTCCTGCACTGCTGTATTAGACTGCAGTGATGGTAGAGGAACTCAGTGGCCCAGTTCAGGTGATACCCTCCTCACCTGCAGACTGGAGGAAGGCACTTAGGCCAGACAAGCGGGGGTGGCCAGAACATTGAAACTCTCCTCAGCACGTCACGTTCCCCAGCTTTTGCAAGGCTTTATAAATCTGATGTTTTATAAATGTTTCTCACGCTTATCTGCCACAGGTGAAAACGCCCTCTGCCGGTACTTCAGCAATGAGAGGATCCCGCCTATCGTAGAAGAAAGTTCCCCACTGCAGCATCAGTTTTCTAGGCCCATGGTGGAAAGGCAGCTAGTGAGGGGCACAGACTACATCAGGGGAAGCAGGTGTTTTGTCAACGTGGATCTTCACAACAGCGCAACCATCCCGTTCCAGGAGGATGGTGCCAAAAAGCCACCTGTGACCTCCTCAACAAAACCCTCCTCTGCAGAGCCCTCACTGCTGTCCAGCTGGATCACAAGGCTCAAGCTGTTGACTCACTGATTTCACAGGCCCGGATTGTGAGTTCTTCTGGATATTTTACAAAGTGCCTTTGGATATTTTTCTCTTCCCCCGCCCACCGGGCAAATGGCTGCATCAGCTACAGAGTTATTTAGTGGTTATGGTTTATTTTATTTTCTCCCCCCAGAAAAGCTTGTCCTCTTCCCAGCATTCCTATATCAGATTAACTGGAGCTGGATGGATGGCTCTGATAATGGGCCGGGGCAGGGGAAGAGGGAGATCGCGGCAGGTGGCGTTTGCCTCTCTGCCCAAGAGCGGGCAGGAATTCATTCCTCTGGAGAAAACAGCCAGGCGCGAGCGATCCGGAGGTCACTGCTGCCCTGAAATCTGTGGGACCCGTGCAGAAGCACTCACTGCATTGTAACGAGGCCCGGCGGCACGTCATTTGCTGCGATGTTGTGCCAACCGACTGGAAGTGCAGCCTGTGTGTGTAGCACTCAGCAGAAACCCTGAGCTGCAATCCTGACCAAGAAAGACGAAAAGGGGAGGCGTCGTGAAGCCACATAGTGTGCACTGCAAGGGACTGCAGACGGCTCAACTGTAAGGATTAAACAGCAGTTTGTTCCTTTTTTCTGATTAGTCACAAACCTGAGCCTGTTCTGGTTGATACCTTAGTTATAAATCTTGGTATGGTTCAACTGTTCTTCCCTGAATTGCTGCAGTGTTCATCCAATTAAGACATGGATTGCTATAACATGCCACGGAAATGCCTCTCTGGTGACAATGGTAAAAATGAATATATTTTACTGCTTTTTTTAAGAAAGTGATTAAGACTGAGTAGCTGTTAACCAAAGTGTTCTAAAAACAAACCCTGTAAGCTTCTGGAGCACTGCCCACACAGGTTCAATTTGTTTGATATTATTTGTGCTTTAAAGAGTGACTTGTGATGGAATCACACTTTTGTAAGACAGTTTGCTCCCTTAAAGCATTGCGGGGGCGGGAGGGGGACTTGTTTGCTGTCGTTACTTGGGGTGATTTGTGGAAGGGACAACTTGCAAAAGTGTTTGGACATTAAGAATTTGTTCATCAACAAATGTAGGAAAAAAGGTTGTGTTAGAGATTCACAATGAACATTATGTTTAAAGTAATTTAAAAATGTTTAATTGTACTGTATTTTTTTCTCTCAACTTAATGCATTTTTTGCATTTTTCTCCTCTAGCAGTTTCTGCTTATTAGCCAGAATAAATTAATAGTTCTCTGCCCCTCATCTCCTAAATCAGTAGCTGAATGTGCCATTTGCATGGTCTGTGTTTGATGCACCATCTATACGGAGAAGAAAAATTCAGCAGAGTGTGTATTGCTGCCAGTGTGACCTCAGCAAGCTGTACTAATCAATTCATGATAAGTGTAGGATATACCTCTGGAAATGTTTAGTTCTGTATATGGCAATATTTTCGGTAATTTTGTTCCAGCTTGGAAAGATAGATGCTTGATTACGTAGGAAAATGACATGACTTTATTGAGATCAGTGGACTTGCACTAATTTTTCCATTAAATGATGCCTATAGGTTTTTTTTTTCACTTGGTTTGATCCTGACCTCACAGGCAAGCGCAAACAAGGACAGAATTCAGCTTCCATTTTTCCAGACATAACTTACCATTGGTACTTGCCCAGTAAACACTAATCCTGGTACAGCTAGGTTGTTTTCTTTTTAGTTTTTAAAGGGAGAGGGGACAGATGTAACTAAAATGTCAACTCTGTTTTCTGCGAAAAGCTAGACAAGTATGGAAAATGTGAAGTATATTATACAAAGCTATAACGTTAGCTCAGGTTCAGGTTTTTCTTTCTCTCAATATACCTAAGAAAAGTTTGTGTGCGTATGCATGCTTAGAAATTGGACAAGGAGGATAATTTACTTTTGAAGTATGTATTTAATGAAGCTAATTCCTCTGTGGTTACTGCTGCTCCTGTGAAATAACATTTTCCCCACATCTTTAATCCATTGATTGCTAAGTTGGAAATTCATGAATGTATTTTACATGAGAAAGGGTCACTGTGAGACTGAGTTGTGAACTAGGAAATCCTTGTTTATAAATTGACTTGGTTGCCTGAGTCAATTTATACCATTGTTTGGGCCCAGGCTTCCCTTTGCATAACTGGGATTACACTGAGTTTATTTGTATTGAATGCCTAATTACGACTTGCCATCCCTAATTTCCAGTTATGCCAAAGTAGCACAACAATCTGAGCCTAATTTCACATTTGGTAGGTCTCCTGAGGCAAAAGTATGGGCAGCTAGTTGTTGGAGGATGCCTGTGACATTCCCTTGACAGGTCAGCAGAGCAGAGCAGGGGTGGACAGCATGTTACCCTCCTGATATCACTGGACTGCAACTCCCATTATCCTTTACCTGTGGTTTGGTTTGTCCATCATGACAACCTGTTGTGGGTGATAAGCCATGGTAGGTTTTCATTTTGTGTCGTCAGTGTGGCTTTTTCTTTTTTTTAATATAAACAACCCTCCTATGATAACCTATGGCTTGTTTACGGTCTGTTTGTGCCATGGTGGCTTGCTGTATCATCTGAACCCAGCAGGGCAATTTTATTGTGGGTTATCAGGAACAACTAGAGAGTCATCTGGTCAGACCAGCAAAAGAAGCCTGCATTGTCCATATCAGCTTGTGCACTGATCAACACACTCAGTTTATTTCATTGTCTGTAACATTTCTTCTGTGAAATCATTTTCTAAAAAGCTTTGAAAATACAGTATACAAAAGTTAATCTAGCTCCAGAGGTAAATGGCACAATACAGTAATCTTAGAGAAGTGTGGTTACTTTTGTACCACTTCCCTTTGTAGAAAAGAAGCTGCATGGTACTCACACAGTCAACATAACTCTTGCAAACAATGCTTCCACCTGAAAGTGACTAGGCAAAGAAGCATTCCTGACCTAATCTGTATACACTTTTTCACATACTTATGAACTGGGCATGCCTTCCTGTGAGGTAACAGTGTGTGCATTGTGATGTGTTTGATGGTGGGAAGTATATGCAAATCAAGCAGTCATGTGAGTGATTGAGGGCCAATTATATAGCCTCTTACCTACCTTTCCAGTGAGTTGTTGGGAATGAGTGATCTGCTTGGCCCACATGTTTTATCTACTGTATTTTTCACTCTATAAGATGCACCTGACCATAAGACGCACCTAGTTTTTAGAGGAGGGATCCATGGAAAGCTTCCTGATAATCACAGGCATATTCCCCATCACTTCCCCATGGGCTTCATTAAAAGACGGGTTGCCATTTGAAAACACACACCTACCTGTGATTAACAGGTCTCACCTGTGCCGGAGGATGGGGGCGGAGCAGGGTGTGCGGCGGCAGGTCTTCCCGGGCGGTGGGGGTGAGTGGAGCCTCCTCCTCCACACCGCTCCCCCTGAGCGGCACAGCTCTCACCTGCGCCGGGGGGGGGGGGCGGAGCAGTGTGTGCCGAGCGCGTGCTGGCCAGGTGGTGCCACGTGGTGCAGGCGGGCCGGCAGCATCCCAGGCGTCGGGCACACACACATTTGCTCTATAAGACACACAGACATTTCCCCTTAATTTTGAAGGGAAAAAAGTGTGTCTTATAGAGCGAAAAATATGGTAATTTATACACATACCAGCCATGTGAGAAATGGTTCTTGCATTGCTGATTTAATGCATGCAAAGGTGGTTGCAACCTTACCACAAAATTATCTTTTCTCTTTCTAATATTAAGTGGAGACAACACCATTCACTAATAACTGTATAAAACAAACCATTGAGTAAGTGTTAAAAATAGTTTTCTTATAATTCAGGTGAAATTAGCAGGCATACCATTCCACAAAATCTTTTAGAGAAAGTTTAGTACTTATGTATTAAGAAAATGCTCTTTATTTAATTATGTAGTGGAAAGCCTTCCCAAGGCAGTTACCAGAAGTCAATAAAATAAACATATCAAATAAGGTAGTAAAAAACAAGGCCAATAAACTAATAACATAAACAGTAATGAAAACACAGAAGCCAGCATAAAACTGTCACTTGAATACCAACTAGAACAAAAGGATTTTTTAAAAAATCCACTTTGAAGTCATCAATTAGAACAGTTTTTCAGGCTTCCCCCTCCCATACACACACACATGCTAATATAATAGTTAATTATTTTAAAATCAACATGCATGGAGCTGCAGTGGGATAAGAGGTTTGAATGTACTTAGATTACAAATGTCTACTAAAACATTGGTGGTTGGGTTGCTGTTTTCATTTCCTTTTAATTTTCAAGCAGTATTAGGGCTGGCAGGGTTGGATCTAGTTGGATCATGGTTGGGTCTATTAAGCAGAGTGGGGTAACTGCTTCGGGCAGCAATTTTGTCTGTCAAAAAGTGTTGCCAAGTGCTGCTTATTTATTATTGTTGCATTTTTAGAAGGAGTGGACAGAGGCCTCAGAACCTTTCTGCATCAGGCAATGAAATTACTCGAAGTATAATGTTTTAAGTTTCTTCGATTCCCACCTCCTCAGGAAGTAGGATTCAGAATGTATTCCCTTCAGACTTATTGCACATAAAGGTGAAACCAAATTAGAAGGGCTGTTCAGAACATAAAAGGTCTTGCAAAGCAGTAAGTGGCAGAATTCATGTTGCCAAATTCAGCTCTTCTCAGAACCAAGAGTGGATGGCCTGAGTGCAAATTTTGTAACATAGTCCTCCATCTCTCATGAGTGATTAACACATCAAAACTCACTGAGCTGTTTCTTGCAGCAACAGAAAAAGAGCCTTGAAGAGCAAAACTAGATTCTGGAAACTTAAACTGAAATGCCCCAAAGCTGAAATTGCCAACAGCTTTTGGGAGGCAGAACTTAGATCAGAGCTCCTGAAGTGGGATGGGTTTTCCCCATAATCCATAATTTGCTAAAGATGCAGGCAAGGTGGACCAAGTAGAGCTTTTCAAGTTAAGTTTGGCAATATCCTATTTCATCTGAAATGTTGTCAGTCAACTCCAAAGGAAAAGATACCAAATTATAATTTAACCTAATTGTGCAACAATTTTGTGTCATTTCTCTTCCTGAGGAGATTTGCTTTGTTTTGTTTTGTTTGCCCATCTTTTGAGGTGTAAATAATTACTGGTGGGTGTGTTTGTTTTGGACTTCCTCTTTTCCTTTTCCACTGCAAGTAGCAAAGAGTTCTGGGAGAAAGAAGGTTCTTTTGCCACCCTTAACACAAAAAGCAAAACTTCCCCCTTTTTTAAAAAAAGCCTGATTTTGCCTACCTGACAGTCTCTTGTGTATCTGGCCTTGCCTGAACAGAGCCTTTTCTTTCACGCATTTTCACTCTGGCCCCTCCTCTTCTAAGGGGCCACACTAATCCAGCAATGAAGAATGTTTCTGTACTATGTGTAGCCCGGTTCTATGCAAGAGGAGTCCACTGTCTCCACAGGGGCTCTTGTGTGTCTAATTGCAGCCTTTCAATCAGTAGAAATGTGCAAATGGATCAGGGAGTCCATCCTGAAAATGTTCTAATCAGCTAGGAAAGTACCTTGGGAAATTACCAGTAGAGGGGTATTTCTAGGATTTCTGGGACCAGAAAGCTTCTGTTAATCCTTGCAGAATAAAAGTCCAAGATGCATTGACTCTCATGGCTATGGAAAAGACAGATGTTGCGGAAGGATGAGTTTTCTGTTCAGTTCTAGCCAGCAACAGCAACTTTTATGTAAGTGTGTTCTTCAGAATCAAGGAAATGAATTAATGTTCTGTTTCCTCTTTATAACCAAGATTGAAATGCTGAATTCTGTTCAGGATCAGATGGGGGTGGAGGGAAGAAGCCAAACATTCTGCCAACAGGAAACAGATGGTAGAAATGGAAAGCTTTACTCTTCTGGGGGGAAACAAAACACTTTCTTCCAATAAATGTGTGTGTGTTGTGGGGGGGGGGTTGTGTTTCCTTTCTAAGAGCCAACTTGCAAAATGAAGGGATCAAAAAGAAAGAGAAGTGATCTCAAAAGCCAATACTGGGCCACACATCAAACTCAATGTTACCTGCCTGGAGCACTAATTTAGTGGAAAGATGAGGCATATGCTTAATAAATCAGTCAATCAATAAAATAAACTTAAGCCCACTTTCCAGTAGATGCTGGGTTTAAATGAGAACCAAGGCAGACTTTATTTTAACTACAAAGCTTCATTTGCTCTTCTTTTCACTCTCCCTGAGTGGGTTTGCAGGAGAACAAGCCACACTGCAGAATAATAAGCCACTTGGAGTGGCTAC